AGTGTAACACTGCATGGTTCAAAATTGGGAAGGGTGTACGCCAGGGATGCATCCTGTCTCCATACCTTTTCAACATGTATGCAGAGCAGATTATCCAAGAGGCTGGACTCTATGAGGAGAATTGTGGCATCAGGATTGGTGGAAGATCTATTAACAATCTCTGTTTGTTACTTAGTGAACAAAATAATGAAAGAGTAGACCTACTTAAGAGAGTCAGTTAACAACATAAAGAAGCCTACCTGTCTGATGGCACCAATTTTAAATTCATAACAGATTCTCCCTGGTTGAGTGATCTTAACTCTTTTCAAATTAGGTGGGTCACTTTCACATACATTTTGAGGATGGATTTTGTTTATTGAATATAAACTGGAAGTGTTAGCATGAATAAGAACTATTAATATTGTTTTACATTCTACTTTATGTAACCACTACAGAGCTTCCCAATTGACCCCATGCCATATTTACATACGATAGTTCTCTCTTTAAGTAACCATGCCAGGCACCAAAACTTCCAGAATGAGACATGAAGCTATCACACACTTCTTGTGAGTCTGGCATTCTAACACTAACATCAAAATAAAAGAATGTTTTAATAAGGAAAAGTCCTCCTATGGTCATGGAGAAAAGGAAAGAACAAAAGTCTCCTAATGGAAATATTGTATTTTATTACTGAAAGTCTGTTGCACTTGCTAGCTTTTTAATGGAAGCTAAATACACATGGAGGGTCAGCAAAGAAGAGGAAGGCCCTCAATGAGATGGACTAAGTGATTGCAGCAATGGGCTCGAGTGTCTGAAATAATGAGAATGGCATGGGATAAGACAGGGACCTGTTGGATCATAGTATCACTATGATTTGTACTGAACTCTATAGCTCCTAACAGCAGCAGCAATGGAGGAGAAATATCATTAGACTGAAAGTGACTTTCATAAAGATAAAATCTTTTTTTTATCTGTCCTGAAAAACTGTTAGGTATTCAATTCCAGTTGTTTGTAAATGCCTTATAATCCAATTATATTTAATAGTAACATGAAATTTTACAAATATGAAAAGAAATCTATAATGTATTTTAAAAAACCAACTAAGATTTTAAAGCAACTTACTGGTCACTAAATAAAAGCCATTCATAGCATCTCTCTATGCAGCAAGCTAGAAAAGCCTAATCAAGTTATCTGCACTGGACCACTCACATAAATGACCCCAAAATATTTCAGAAATTCTCATTTTATGTCTGTCATGGAAGACATCCCAGGAGGAAACATCTACATTTGAGAGGTGAATTAATGGATCATTCATGTGAAAGTCAACTCTAAATTGAAGTGCAAATGTTTATTCTTTGTGAATGAGTTCTTTTTGGTTATATATCACATCTTTTTCATTTTTTTAGTAACATATGCAATTATCCCCTAAAGGTAGGTTTCTATTGTATCTTATTGGTAAGTAGGAAACACGCAAACAGCAGAAGACTATGTTCCATTTTTTACACTTTGAGCTCTAGTTATGGTGGCCTACTACTTTCATGATGTTTGATTGGGAGATCACATATTTTTCATAGAAAATATTTAATGCGTGTGTCATGGAATGACTCTAAAAGAGTTTCCTAAAACATAAGTGTTATAGTAAAATAAGAAAGGAATAGGAAGAAAAACTGTGAAAGCACATCTTTATTTTAAAAGGAAAAGAAAAACTTTCCATTAAGGAAAGGAGAATCATTTTGATAATTATAATTTTGTGTATCAAATATCTTGCTTTTATAAACAGTTAAAAAATAAGTATGTACCTACCCAACGGTGGTACGGGATTTTAACATTAATAGAACAATTGGCCTGTTTCTCTAGCAATACAAGATTATTGCCTATACTCCATAAATGCTTTATAGTGTTGTATTTGAAAAAAGTTCACCTAACAATAATGACTATTCTAGGAAGAACAATCTACATTTTATATACAAGTATAGTGCTCTATTTAGAAGTCATTTTCCCAGGTTAATATACCTGATATCATTCTCTCTTTCCAATACTGTAGCATTATAATCTTCGCTTATACTTCCAATTTGTGGAAAATAGTTAAATAATTTCTAAGGAAAATACATTATCTATCATTATTAAGTGCTTTCATAACTGCCTACTACTTTGAAACCATTATTGGTTATAAATTCTAAAGAGGAAAAAGCATTTAAACTAATGATGAATAGGGAATCTTATTAAAAGCAGTAGAAGCTATACTTTCAAAAGTACAGTCTCTTTAAAATAAAAAGAATATTCTGTAACATGATAAAAATTAATAGTTTCTTTAAGGAAGCATGACATTTTCTATTAAGAATTAAAAAAATCAAATGCAATAATAATTTTTCTGATAAATACATAACAGGGCACCTGTAACTTTAATCAGTCAGCAAAATGCGTGACCAGGAACTGATTCCAGTATGATAATTTTTAAATTTTTTCCTCAACAATTTCCCTCAAATTATTTATAATTGTAGGGAAAGGAATCTACTTAAAGATTTCACCTTTGGTAATTCATTAAAGCAAATATCTGCTTAAACTCTTGGGGCAAAACTATGGCAAAAAAAAATCCTAATAGAAATTAGATGGAACGCAAACAAACTTGAGCAATGAAAAACTCTTCATATAACCCATGTTTTTCTTATTATTATATTGTCTTTTGGTTTTGAGGGGGAAAAAACTAAAACCCTAGGGAGAACTAAATTTTGGTATGATCGCCAAAATCTAATTTTCTAATAGAATAAAAGTGTAGAAAGAAATACAGTTGATAAAAGTAGACTAGATTGCTGAAAATCCATATGACATCAGAATTTGCAAAATCATCCAGATCTTTTATATTACATAATTTTATGCCCCTTTAGCTTTCCTCCTTGAGTGTGTGCCATTGAAACCAAGACAATTAAAACCCAGAATCATTTCAAGGAGATGCAGGACAACAGTAATTACAAACATGCTGAAAGATGTTTTTCTCCTTCCAAAATGAATCTACTATACTGTCTTTTCAGTTTGTTTAAGGCGGATTTGGGTTATGGAGGAAGAAAGAAAAGAATATAAAGAAGTAGTGGAGACATTTCACTCTCTTTCCATCTCCAAATTATCTCTGAAAATAAAATGCCATTTGTTCATTCCAAAGTTTATTGTTTTAAGAAAATAGTACATTCTTTCCTAACATTCTTCTTTTAAAATGTTAAGCCTTCATGGATAGTTTTAAAATAAGCTACTGTCTACTAATAAATTTCCCTCCTAAAATATACAACAAAGTATATAATGGGAGTGACCCTATTCTTTTCAATCTTTACAAAGACAAGGAGAATTTTCCGAGGAAAATTGCTTTTAGTCTCTTGATTATTTTTCTAAATTACTTTTTAAAGCACCCCATAAAGTCATTTTCCTTTAGTAGTTATTAAAGCTTATCTAGTCTTTCCATTGAACCACTAATTTTATAATTTGGTAGGTAGTAGTCAACCATATTGTCACATCATAGTTAACAATAACTGTACACTTATTGTTCAAGTATTACAGCAATTCGTTTTTCTTATCATCCATATATCCTTTTTTTTAAGCCCGTCTAAGCCACAGCAGGATAGTCCTTGTTTTGTTCATTGTTGTCATTTTCTTGTGGACTAGTGACTTTTACTTCTGGTCGTGGTGGTCTTTGAGGGTCTAATTCAGCCTGGTGAAAAAGAAACCAAAACAAGAGAAACGTTTGTTTTCAAAGATAGTAGCATCATTTCTTACTATTCCATTTAATCATATAAATATTAAACTAGAAACAGTCCTTGAGTTTCTTTTGTTTTTTCAAATTTCATTGTCCAGCACACATGCTATTCTCAACCTTTCCTTTTCAGAGTCACTTCCTGGGATCATAATCTAGTATATACTTCAGAATCACACATTTTTTAAAATTTTATTTTATTAATTTTAATGAACATTTACAGAGATTTTGGATTTCCATTCATTCATTGTTACACTTTTCTCCCTGCCCAGCCCTGCCCCCCAGTTCACTCCTCTCTTTGAAAAGTAAAATTCTTTCATTGGTATACAATCCCCACCACATCTCCTCTCCCCCACGCCCCGAGCACACACACATTTCTTATATGTTCAACTTGGTTTTGCTTGTTTGTTTTATTTTCCCTACAGTTCTAATTTATACTTCCTCTTTTAATATTTTCAGAGAAAAAGGAGGGGAGTAATGCAGCAGTTCTCCCTTCATATGTTCTTATGCCTGAATCTTTTCTAATTTTAGTTGTCTCTCTTGTTGTTCGATGTTAGGCATCATCCCGAACTCAGATCCATCTTATGGACAACAGAATGAAGCAATGCCAGATCCTGCGTCTTCCTCACAATTTCTGCTCTGCTTAAGCCTATTGTCACAGTCACAGTGTCAATCCGTCTCTGAAGGTCGTCTTCTTTTTCTTTTATTTTATTTTCTATTGGTTTACATACAAAATTCATATACATTATGTTTCACACATTCCTTCATTCACATTCTGTTTCATGTAACAATTCATATGCATTATGTCAGATACAACTAATCACCAATGATCTATGCCTACCATGCCTCATCTTTTCATGTCCCCATTGGATCTTTCCTAATTCCTTCAACCTCCACTTCTACTCATCAAACTGCTATTTCCCCCCTTCCCTCCTCCTTTCCTCTTTGTAGTTTTATACACATCTTACTATGGTGTTCCGTCCCCCTCCCCCAACATGATGTTCTTTTCTAGGGACTGGTCTCTTCTGATAACATGTCCAAAGGATGCAAGATGAACTCTCACTATCCTTACTTTTAAGGAATATTCTGGTTTCACTTCTAAGATAGACTGCCTGATTCATTTGGCAGTCTGTTAGTTGGAGTTGACTCATAGTTGACCCTCCAGCGGATTGTCAGAGACTGTAAATTGTATGGGAGGGGATTTTCCATCCTTCTCCCACAAAGCAGTTGGTGGACTTGAAATGTGTGTCTTTGGGTTGGTAGCACAACTTCTTACTATTAGTCTACCAGAGTTCCACAGTGAAGTAAATGATCTTTAACAACACCTCATCACCATCCAAAAGCTTCAATTCTTGTTGTTATGTCGTTGAGTGACTCATAGAGACCCTATGTACAATAAATAGCTCAGAAAACTGCCCTATCCTGAGCCAATCTCACTGTCTCTAATACACCTACCCCTTTTACCCTAGTTATTGTGTCAATCCATCTTATCCAGGTCCTTCCTTCCCGTGCTGTCGCTCCTGTTATCCAAGCACAATAACCTTCTCCAAAGACTGGTCCCTCCTGGCAACAAGCCCAAAGTATGTGAGGCAGAGCTTCAGAATCCTTGCCTCAAGGAGCAATCTGATTTTAACCTTTCCAGGAAATATCTGTCTGTTCTCTTGGCAGTGGTATTTTCAATACTCTTCTCCAGATGGATAATCTTCAGCAGGATTTGCTTTGTGCGTGATATGATATTGTATGATAATTTCCACACTCTGTTGGATTACATTTTTTGGAATGAGAATAAATATGGATCTATTCCACTCAGTTGGTCTGGTAGTTGTTCTCAAGATTTCTTAGCACAACCTGGTAAACATATCCTGGGTTGCATCTGTTTATTGAAATATGTCAATTGGTATGCCATTAATTCCTGAGGCCTTTTTTGCCACAGGAATTTTTTTCAACCTATTCTTCCAGAATAGCTTGAACTTCCTAGTTCATTCCCATTGCCTCTTGGTTATATATTGTTTCAAGGAATTCTTCTGTGTCAGCCAATTTTTTATTTTTTATTTTTGGCACAGTGACTCTGTGTACTCTTTCCATCTTCTCGTGTTCCTTCCTGGATCAAGTAATATTCTGCCCATAGCATCCTTAACTTTCATATTCACTGTCTAGCATTCACATGCATGAGTAATTGCAATACCTTGGCTTGGCTGAGGAGTAGTCCAGTTTCTTTATTATTTTAAAGTGTTTTCAGCACAGTTCTTTAGCATTTTAAAGAAGTCTTTGGAAACAGATTTGCTTAATATGTCTTGGCTGCTGCTTCCATGGTACTAACTGTGATTCCAAGTCTAATCAAATCCTTGATAACGTCAATCTGCATGAAATTTTTCATTATGCTGTTTATTGGCACAGTTAATGGACATCTCATTTTCTTTATGTTGGAATGTAACCCATACAAAGGCTAGAATTACTGGTGATTCACTGGTAGAACTCTCACCTTCCACACAAAAGTTTAATTCTCAGTCAGTGCACCAGAACTCATCTATCTGTCAGTGGAAATTTGCCTGTTGCTCTGAAAGAGTTTCAACAGAGTGTTCAGCTTAAAATGGACAGGCTCAGGAGAGGGCAGACTTCACAACCATTGTACATAAGGTCACTATGAGTAGGAGGTGACTCAATGGCACATAACAACAACAGGAAGAAAGACCTAGTGATCTACTTAGTAAAATCAGACAATGGCTTTATGGATCACAAGGATTTTATCTACAAGCAATCCTAGGGATGTGTACGTATTTTGTTCGGTTGTGCAGAGTTGACTCTATAGCAGCTATCAACAAAAACTTTACTAGTAGGAAGGGGAGAAAATAAAAATGCAAAGGCAGCATTTCTCCAAATGCAACTCTTGTCCCTGCCAATTTGACTTCTTATATCTTAATGTTGATATAATCTTATTTATCTTTTTCTCACTAGGCTGAAAATCGAGGGTGATGAGAATAGAATTCACTGGTTTCCAAACAGCTCCATGGAGTATTAGAGGTTCCACAGACATAACAGGGTCACCAGTCTAAAGGACAATAGAGAGGAGTTCCAGGTAAAACATCTTACATTCCATATTTTATGCTGTAAAAAGTTTCTAAAAGTATTTCTGGAACTATATCACCTTCACAATGCTACTTTGTTCCATACTCAAATACTAACTAGATTATAATAAAAACCTCAATAAATGACATTTATTTTTTTCATGTATTTGTCATATGAGTTCCCTAACATTTTCCTACAATCATATCTGACTTTGCTTAATACATGGAACATGAAACAGAGTATTATTGAATTTTGAGTCATTAGATAATAACTATTTAGAGAGTTAATTATTAATCTCTGATATGCAACTCATAGATATCTAGTTTTTTATATATTTGGTTTAAGTATACTTAAGGAGTCCTGGTGCTGCAACAGTTAAAGGATTAAGCTCTTCAACAAAAACAGATTGTTCAAACCCAATAGCCACTCTGTAAAAGAGAGAGGAGATGAGGCAGCCCAAGACCATAAATATCTAGAAACCCTAGAAGACACTTCTACTCTGTCTGGCAGAGTTTCCATGAGCTTGATAGTAGTGAGGTTTTTTTAGTGTATGATTTTGTGTTTTGCTGTAGTATATCTGTGCTATGACTTCAGGGCCAAGAGGAATAAAGATATTCTCATTATAAAAAAAAAGAGCTAAATAATATTAAATGTCACTGTGAGTAAATGCACCACATTGGATGTGAGTAAATGCACCACGTTGGATATTTGTGTAGTTCTTGAAATCGTTAACTAGCCATACATTGATCATTGAGTTCCCAAGAATTTGCTGGATTCATTCCGAATACCTACCATGAACTCCTGTCCATCAAGATCTTCCTAAATTAGTTAACACCCATCTTGACTGACGCTCAGTTCCTATCAAAGCCCTATTTTTTTAAAAAAACTATATTTATGGAAGATGAAATACAGGTGATCATTCATTTCTATAAAATCTACTTCAAGGTTTAACATTACTTTAGCTAGACTACTAGAAAAATGTATACTCAGATCATAAATAAAGTATGCTACACGAAACCTACTATTGCAACTGCCCTACAAATGACACTGAAACTGCTGTCTACACTATTGTTTTTCCTTAAATTATTCCCTTGGGCAAGGAATTCTATTTATCTTGAGAAATTTTTTTTTCTTTTCCTTCAGAAATTCATTCTTGAATCTCATAACTGAGTTTCTCTTTTTATTTTAGCTACCAACAACTTTTAGGTCCAATTTTTAGTTAAACATTAATTATGGTATAGAATGACATATAAGGAATTTTTTATAGAATAAGACTGTGGTTTTCTCACCTTGAGAGAAAAAGAAAGTGAAAGAAGCATACTGACTGTTTTCATGTATATGTTAAGAATGGTTAACATAAGTGGTAAGTGATTAGATATTTTGTACTTGTCATTGAAAACTGACCCCTGAGAACATTCTGCACTTTTCCATAATTAATCTTGGTCTCTGCAAGCAAAATAAGAGAGAGAAGAAAAGTCTATTCATCATAGTTTGTTGTCAGAAGTTACTGCCTTGAAAGAGCTGAGACCCAATCTGATGGTAAAACCTCGGGAAATTCACTGAAATGAAAATGGCCATGGAATACAACCTGCCTTCAGATGATGGCATGAGACTCTACACAGCCTGACAGCAAATATTTCATATTCATCACCATGGACCTTCATCTATCCTATGGAAGAATGCCAAGACTTCAGAATACCCTGCTTTAGGACTAGTGGTTGGTGGTTTTGACAGATATTTCTTTCTCCTCTCTCAGTAATAAATAGAATGACATGTTATTAAGTTTTGAATATTAAATTAAATTAATCCATGTAAGAAAGATAAAGTATACAGCATATAACATTTTCAGAGAACCAAGAGTTATTTATAATAGACATAGTAAATGTTATATCATTAACTTTTTACTCTCACTAGTCCTGATAGTTTTCTCAAGTTTGAAACTTTCCTTCTAAATTTATTTTTATTTGTTAATCATCATTCTCTTTTATTGTATATATTCTTAGAGGCCTCTGTAATTTTATTAATTTTTTTAAATTATTAGTAACTGGATAGATAGTTGGATGGGCAGGTAGATGAATGGGTGGATGGATGACCACCAAACCGACTAACATGTGGACTAACAAATACATGATGACAACACTTCTTAACTAATTTAAACAATGTAGGCAATCAAACTATATCTATGCTATTCCAATTCCTTGCTTCAAATTCAAGTTTTAAATGCTTAAATAATTCCCTAGCCATACATGCATACAAGCTCACACACACCATACATTCATGCATGTACACAGTGAATGTTAGTAACAAAATTACCTCATCCTGTCCATCGCCAACTGCTTGAGACTTTTTTCCCTCATCTGCTTCTGACTGAGGCTCATTATTAACCTGGTCCAGTTCCTCACCATTTTCTTCATCAGTGCCTGCATTTACACGAGCAGCGCCTGCCTGCTCCTCTCCATGATCCAGGGTCTCCTTGGCTTGCTCTGGGTTTGTAGCTGCCTGATCACTGACTTCTTCAACTTCTCCATTCATTCCTGAAAAATCTTTCTGTTCTGTATCTTTGATTTCTTTCTCTTGATCTTCTTCCTCATCTACTATTTCTGCTGGCCTCTGAAAGCAAAAGGAAGAACTATAATAGATGTTTACATGGAACATTACAATTAAATTACTAATTTTATTGTAAATATTCAGTAAGTATGAATTTTATTCTAATTATTAAATAATCATTAACAGAGTACAGTCAAATAAAACTTCATCCTATTTTCTTAGGATTTTATAGTATACAAGGAACTCTAGTGACATAGTGAGTAACAGATTGAGCTACTGACCTAAAAATACCAGCAATTCCAATCTACCAGGCACTCTTCAGGGAAAAGATAAGCAATATCCTCCTGTGGAAACCCAATGGAGTGTTCCAATGAGTTCAGGAGTAAACTGGAAGTGGTTTGGGCTAACCTTTACAATTGTGTAATCCAATTCACGATCTTACACTTTAATCCTCACAACTGTCCTATGAGATTGGTATTACTTCCATTTTATAGATGAGGAAGCTAAGACCTAGCCTTACTAAGTGATTGGTGTTTTAATCAAGTCAGAATTAACTTACAGCAGATTGTCTAGTAGGTTTTCAAAGATGGTAAATCACGTGAGAGAAGATCATCTTTCTCCTGTGGAATGACTGGAGGATTCAAAGCAGTACCTTTGAGCTGCCAGTGTAAACTCTTACCACTAAGCCACCAGAGCCCCCTTACTAACAAGCCTTATTAAGTATATATCCCCAAATTATAATGTGTTCAGTGGAAGGGGCAGAATCTGAACTAAGCAAGTGACTATAGAACTAATGCTCTTAATTCTCATGTCAAACAGGAAATTGAGCTTTATAGCCAATATCTGAGGGTGCCTACCACAGAAGAGGAGGTAACTAAAGATATCTGTTGAAAGATTCTATCCTTACTTCCAACAGTGATAGCTTTCAGATATAAACAAAGGTTTTCTAATATGAATGAGGCACTTTTCACACACTAAGAAAGTTGATGTCATACTTGTTGTTATGTGCCATCTAGTCACTTGCGACTCATAGCAACCATATGTAAAACAGCCCTAAAGTTTTCTCTGTCCTGTGCCAATTTCACTGTCTGAGAAACACCCATCCCAATTACCCCAGTCACGGAATCAATCCACCTCCTAGAGCACCTTCCCCTCCTGTGCTGTCCCTCCACCTTCCCAAGCATGATGTCCTTCTCCAAGGACCAGTATCTCCTTACAACATGTCCAAAGTATGTTAGACGGAGCCTCAGAATCCTTGCCTCCAAGGAGCAGCCCAGTTTACCCCTCTCAAGGATGAATCTGTTTGTTTTCTTAGCAGTCCATGGTACCCTCAATACTCTTCTTCTATCCTCACTAGTCATTGTTCAACTCTCTGATGCATAACAAGTGATTACAAAAACCATGGCCTGTATCAGATGCACCTCAGAGAGACACCATTGTTCCTCAGTACTTTAGAGAGGTCCCTAACAGCAGACTTTCCCATCACAACACGTCTTTTAATTTCCTGGCTGCTGGTGCCAAGAGTGTTGATTGTGGAGCCAAGCAGACTAAAGCTGTGAAAAATCTCAATCTCTTCACCATCCATCCTAATGCTGCCAATTGGTCCAGCAGTGAGAATCTTTGTCTTCTTGACATTGAGCCTCAATCCATATTGAAGGGTTCAGTCTTTGACCTCTACAGCAAGCGCTTCAGGTCCTCCTCAGTTTCAGCAAGGAGGGTTGTGCCACCTGCATAACACAGATTGTTGATAGATCTTCCACCAATCCTGATGTCGCATTTCTCCTCATAGAGCCCAGCCACCCGGATGATCTGTTCTGCATACAGGTTGAAAAGGTATGGAAACAGGACATACCCCTTGTATACGCCCTTCCCAGTTTTACACCGTGCAGTGTTTCCCTGCTCTGTTCTGACAACTGCCTCTTGTTACAAGTATAGATTTCGCATTACCATGATCAAGTGTTCTGGGATTCCCATTCTTTTCAGAGTCAGCCACAGTTTGTTATGATCCACACAGTCAAACACCTTTGCATAATCAATGAAGCACAGATAGACATTCCTTCAGTACTCTCTGCTTTCATCAAGATCCATCTAACATTAGCTACAATATCCCTAGTACCACGACCCCTTCTAAACCCAGCCTGGACTTCTGGCAGTTCTCTGTTGATGTGCTGTTCCAGTCGTTTTTGGAAAATCTTCAGCAGAATCTTGTTTGCATGTGAAATCAATGATCTATAGTTTCCACACTCTCACGCAGGCAATAGTAGAGGACCCCCAAGGCTGAGTGGGACTGAGTAGCAGGACGCTTAGGGCAGAAAGAAAGCCTCATAGGCAGAAAGCAAGGCAAGACAACAGAGCTGAAAATCCCCACCCACACATGTAACAATAGAGGACCCCCAAGGCTGTGCAGGACTCGGTTGACCTGAGGGCCACAGGAAGAAACTATCTACACACCAGTTCCACAGGACACATCACCTTTATTAGGGACACATTACCACTAAACTTAGGAGACTCTGGCCACAGCATAAGAAACTGTTAGCAGTTGACATGTCTGGAATCACAAAAGCCAAGAAAGCTTTAGATATAAACTATTAAGGGCTGGACAATGGGAGACAGATGTTGAAGGAAGTGGGTAGAAGTGGATGATATATTGATGGATGGCGGAATAAAGAAATAAGTGGGTTAAGACACTTGTGCCAAGGGCAGGGACAACACTAAAACGAATGGTTAATACCACAAGAAGTTATATACTTTCACTCTTTCTGTAAAATGCTTATCTGCTGGATACTTCTCTAAATCTGAACATGCAGATTAAGACATACAAGGAAGAAGGACTGGCCATCTACTTCCAAAATAGCAGGCCTCTGAAAACCCTATGTACAACAGAACACACGTAGAATGACTGAAAGGGCAACAGAGTATGGAAATAGAAAGGAAGAGGAACAGTTGTAAGCAGACACTAGTGATAGGAACATGGAATGTGAGAACCATGAATGCAGGAAAATTAGATATTGTTAAGAAAGAAATGGAACGCATAAATATTGACACACTAGGCATTGGTGAGATGAGATGGATCACCATAGGGTATTTTGAGTAGGACGATCATATGATATATAATGACGGAGATGAAAAGGTGAGGAAAAATGGGGTTGCTTTCATAGTTAGAAAAGCCATTTCCAGATCTGTCTTGAAGTACAATATTGTGAGTAGCAGGATAATAGCCATACGCATATAAGGAAGTGCAGTGAATACCACTATCATTCAGATATATGCACCAACAACCAGAACCAAAGAAGAGGAAATAGAAGATTTCTAGCAACTTTTACAGTTGGAGATTGATTGAACATGTAATCAAGATGCATTGACGTTAATGGGTGACTGGAATGCAAAAGCTGGGAACAGAGAAGAAGATTCAGCAGTTGGAAAACATGGACTTGGTGACAGAAATAGAGCTGGAGTGAGAATGAATTTTACACAATCAATGACTTATTCATTGCAAACACATTTTTAAGAGACATAAATGCAGGTTATACACATGGATCTCACCTGATGGTATGTATAGGAATCATGATTACATCTGTGGAAAGAACCACTAGAGAGTATCAGCTGTGGAAACTAGGCCAGGAGCTGACTGTGGAACAGATCACCAACTACTCATATGCAAGTTCAAGCTGAAGCTGAAGAAAATTAAACCAAATCCACAGGAGCCAAAATAGGACTTTAATTTCATCCCACCTGAATTTCAGAATGATCTCAGGAACAGGTTTGAGGCGTTGAACACTAATGAGTGAAGACCAGATGAGTTGTGGGAGGATGTCAAAGGTATCATCCAGGAAGAGTGCAAATGGTCATTACAAAGACAGAAGAGGAAGAAAAGACTAAAATGGATGTCAGAAGAAACTGAAGATTGCACTGGAACGTAGAGAAGCCCAAGCACAAGGAAGAATTCAAGATACTAAAGAGCTGAACAGAAGATTCCAAAAGGCTGCTCGGAATGACAAAGCAAAATACTACAGTGAAACGTGCGAGGAGCTAGAGTCAGAAAATCAAAAGGGCCGAACTCGCTCAGCATATCTTATGCTCAAGGAACTGAAGAACAAATTCAAACCTCGAGTTGTTATAATCAAGGATGCTTTCGGCAGAATGTTAAATGATCCAGGAAGTATTAAAAGAAGATGGAAGGAATATTCTGAGTCATTGTATCGAAAGGAATTGGCAGACACAGAAGAATTTAATGAAACAACATATGAGCAAGAGCCCATGGTGATGAAAGAAGAAGTTCCAGCTGCTTTGAAGGAAATAGCAAATATTAAGACCCCAGGAATAGATGGTATACCAATTGACATATTTCAGCTAACAGATGCTGCCCTGGATGTGCTCAGCAAGTTGTGTTAAGAAATCTGGAGAACAATTATTTGGCCAAGTGACTGGAAGAGATCTATATTTGTTCCCATTCCAAAGGAAAGGTGATGTCATACTTACAATACAAAAATCTGTTCTCATACATATTCAAGGCCCAGAATCTATATCCTATTATTGTTGTGTTGTTATTTGTCATCAAGTCAGTTGCAACTCACCACAACTACAACAGCTCAGAATGCTGCCCTATCCTGAGCCAATCTCACTGTCTCTCACACACCTATCCCCATTATCCCAGTTACTGTGTGAATCCATTTTATCTGGGGTCTTCCTCTCCTGTGCAGTCACCTCCACCCTTCCAAAAATAATGTCCTTTTCCAAGGACTGGTCCCCTTCTGGCAACATTCCCAAAGTATGTGAGACAGAGCTTCAAAATCCTTGTTTCCAAGAAGCAACTTAGTTTCACCCTTGGCATGACAAACCTGTTTGTTCTCTTGGCAGTCCATAGTATGTCCAATACTATTATTCTCCAGCACCAAGACTCAAAAGCGTTGACTCTTCTTCTATCATTAGTTATTGTCCAACTCTCTGACGCATACCAAGTAATTGTTAAGACCATGGCTTGGATCAGGTGCTCCAGACTGACATCTTTGCTCTTCAGCACTGTGGCCTCTGACAGCATTATTCAATGTAATTCACCTTCTGAT